CTGGGATGGGTGTCCCAATGCTCTCGTGGGACTGGCCTGTGAGAACATCTGGAGGCCCTACCCCCCCCCCTTCCCGGAAGCCCCCAGACCCCTTTGAAAAGTAAAATAAACTTTCCCAGGCTCCATTATAGTCTTGGAGCAGTTCTCCCAGTATTTCCACTGTTTTCCAGACTAATTTTAGGAATGGTGTCTGGACTGCAGTCCAGACACTGGAAGTGGTGGCAATACAGCTGATGACTGAGGTTTGTCACTCTCTCATTCATAGATCATCATATGCCCAAGTTAATATCAAATAACAATGTATTTGAGAAAGGTGTGCTAGTAAAGTCAATTATCAATCACTTTTTAAATGTCCTTAAAAAAATATGAACACTAGAACAACTAAGGTCTATCTATATTTCATTTTAAAAATGAATCCCTTAAACATCTAAAATACACCATGCACATAGGACACATTCATATTCTTCAAATTGATGTACGAGAGCTGCTTATACTGGGTTATAAAACAGACCACAGCTTTCCACCACACCTGCACATAGATTATTCACATTTGCCACTGTGTTGCCCCCATGGCAGTATTTATTCGCTTCTTCATTTAGGCTTCAATCTAGAGTTTTGTACCATCTCCTTCCAAACATAGTGCCCTAGTCACTCAGTATATCTTTCCTAATCTGGGATCCTTTGAGTACCTGCTTATTGCAGATCAGTGGTTCCCAACCTGTGGTCTGTGGACCAGTAGTGGTCTGCAAGAATGAAAATATGGTCCGTGGCCTCACCATTAACTCGAAACCACACAACAACAAGAGCAAATGGTCTCGTGAAACCCTCTTATAGTGCCAAGGCAACTGGGATGTTGGGAGGGAAGAGGCTGAATACTCATGAAAGATTACTACTGCTGCATCAGCTCCAGATTAATAAACATGATTTTCTGTGGGCGAGCAGATGGTGACTACTGGATGGCATATGCTCTGTATCAGAAACTAGAGCTGATGTGGTCTATCCAATGCAATTTTTGGAATCAGCACCCCAAATAACCAAATCAAATCTACAGTTGAGCAAAAACTAATGTTAGAGAGTGGTCCCTTGTCAAAGTGGTCCCTGTCCAAGTAGTCCCTGATCAAAAAAAAAAAGGTTGGGAACGACTGTTGCAGATAGATATGGTCACCAGGTGACTGTTATGTGATGGACAATGTACAGTGGACAATTCAAGTGGAAGCAGTGTTCTGCATCTAAAGAGCCATTTGCATTGAAGCCATTCCTGAGGAATAACATCCTTGCTGCTTCATCTTCATTATGTTATCCAGAAACAACCAGTGCTACTCTAAAACATTTTGATACTTGCTGCAGATCAGCAAATAGTGCTCCACCTTTCATATTGTTGTTAGTTGCTGTTAGGTCAGCTTCTGCTTATGGTGATCCTGTGAACAAGGGACTTCCAAGTGATTTGGTCTTCAAGAGAACTGGTCATGTCTTGTAAACTCAGGACCGTGATTACTTTGATTGAGTCAATCAACCTGTGTTGGGGTCTTCCTTTTTTTCCTACTGCCTTTGTCTGTACAGAGCATTACAATCAAACCCAAAGCCAAACCCGTTATTTCAGCAATAACTGACGCAAGCCTGATTTATGTGACTGTAGGTACACATCATCTAGGAATTACTAACCCCTGTGAAGCAACAGCAACTGGATTGTATATAATGGAGGAAAAACTGCTTTCACAAAAAGGGTTGTTTTTTATTATTCTTAGCAGTATTCACCTTGAAGGAATATGAGGGAAGCATACACTTTTTTACAGACAATATATAAACATGTTGTACATAATTAACAATAACTTAGTTCACTAATCCAAAAATTAAGCAATTTTTTAAAAAACAACAACAGAAAATACTGCCAAATCCTTATGCTGATACAAGTACAAAATAATTTAAATCCTGACTGCGGTTCTCCTACGCTGCAGTGACTGACAATATATTGCACTTTGACATCTGTGGATCTCACCCAGCAAGCACTTCTGATTGCAGCCCTATTTGTCCAAGTGGGCTTTGCAGAACTCAAGCCACTGAGACAAATAGTCTGTGCATCAGCAATAGCGCTGGGGCCAAGGGTTGCTCCCCAACATCATAAATTTCTTCATTCTCTCACCCAGTCGCTCCCAACCCTTAAGGAATTTGACTTGGTTAGAAATAATATATCACGGTACCATATTTTTAAAAGGTCACCCTTCCCTCTCTCTCTCTCTCACACACACACCTAAATAAAGGAGTAAATAGTTTATCTTGGTCAATTGAAAATAATTTCATTTGCTTATTTTGGAGTGTCTTGTATTTGGGTATCTGATTATTTTTGCTTCTTCACAAAGTGCAGCTATATATGCCTTCACCAGCCTTCCCTAAACTAGTGCCCTGCAGACGTGTTGAATTACAATTGCCTTAATCCCACAACCAGTAGAGCTGGGATTGAGGACAAGAAACTCAGCACATTTGGGAGACACCAAGCTGAAGAAGACTGGCCAGTACAGACCAGAAAAGGGAGGAAAGCAATGTTTTTTTGGATGTTTGGTCTTTTGTTCTTTACCAGACAGTTGAATTACATATTTAGGGACAAAAAACAAAACCAACGTACACCTTTGCCTTGGTTTTAAGCAGACTTTTGCAGTTAAGATACAATTGGCTTGATTTAAAAAATTAAAGAAAAACAGAGTTTCTTAAAAAAAAGTTTGTCACAGAGTTAAGCTTATGCGGTTTACATTACCAAACCCCAAGGCTCACAGGGGCTTTTTTTTTCATCAGAAATATAGCTAAATATGTACATCATATGTTATACTGGACTTTGTGATCATGAAAGTCATCAGATCATAACAATCAAGAGAATACACATCACACTGGCAAGAGCTTTATTTTTTTTCAGCTTTTAAAAAACGTACAATATGGTTTTAGAATGGGAGATGATGATTATTTTTCTCTCAACACTCATGATTTTCCTTAAAAATAGAAAATGTGTTCTAGGAAACAGCCAAGTACCCCTCGTTCTCCCACTTTCGCAGCCTCTGCTTTGCCAGTGCTGCTGCTTTGCCTGAACCCCTGGAAGGATATGACAATCACCACTGCTCTTTCCCCGTCATGTCTTGTCGGTGCCTTCATCCCTTCCCAAGTAAAAAGACTTGCCACTGACAGAAAGCAAACTCCAGCTTGCGTAGACACATGACAAATATAATAGGACAATAGCTACTAAACATTGCAGGGATCTTAGACAACATCTGCTAAATGAAGGTGGCAAAATCCCAACCATCATGAGGTACCCTTCCAGTTTAAAGAGCCATTATTTCTTCTGCTCTCAAACAAAACAGGTTAGACCCAAGAATATACTCTGACAGAGCAAGGATGGACCACTATGTTTCACTTTGAAGGCCAAAACGCATTTCAGAGAGGATTTCTGGGTGGGTTGGTAGGTGCAGCCAGAGACTATCCCACCACTACATGCCAGTACATTTCAGGTTAACACTCTTTACCATCGGTCATTCCAGGAGTTCCAGCCTTTTAGCATGGGAGGGGGAAAGACTATACCAAAGCCGGGAGACCACATGTAAGGACTGCTATATAGAAAGAAATGAGGCTATTGAGGGGAAGGCTAGAGAGCTAGGCTGGGACCCAGGCAGCCCAGACTTGGCAACAGGGCCCCAGGTTCCTCACTTCTTTTTGCTGAAGGAAAGTCTATGGCTGTGTGGCAAGACAAATACTTTGAAGCCAAAGGTATCAGAAGGTTCAAAATTTGGCACCTCCTGCTAAAACAATTATCAGGAAGGCAAGAAAACCTGGTAAACCAGCCACTGTCACCTCCAACATTCAGGATGGGCAGCATGGACCAAAGATCTGGATCCATGTAAAGTGGTGACATGATATAGTATTTTTGATGTCTTCCTAAGAATAGGTCCTGCTGTATTCTATGGACTAACTTCTGAATAGGCAAGCAAAGGAGAGATGGCACCATGAATTGCCTTTGTGTCAGCCAGACAGTTGGCACAAGAGCCAGCAAAAATGGCTAGATGAGAAGGAGTGTTTGCCTGTGTGTTAAGCTGTGGTTTCCAGGGCAGACTGATAGTGGAGATATTCAGCATCTGTATTACAGAAGGCCGCATGTCAGTGCTCCTATCATATACATGAGAGGGAGGGCTGGGAGAAAACAGAGAGGTGAGCAGAGAAAGAAGTGGAAGGAACCTCTGCATCAATGTGGAGGACCACAAAGCACAGAACACAGAAACTGAGCAAAACAAGGCAGCCAGACGGTGGAGAACCTGCAATGTCATGGAACCTGGCAGAAGGAAAACATATTGCTAGCCTAGTGTATCTCTAGAGGTGTTGTGGCATCATTCCCATCAACCTCAATAAGCCTGCTTATGGGTTGATGGAAACCTTTCTCCAGCACATTTGGAGTGCCCTCAAGATGGAGAAGCCTGGCTTAAGGCACTGTAGTCCGCTATGGGAGAGCATATGGCACAGCTCTGCCAATGGAAAAGACAGTGGCCAGGGTTATTTGGATAGTTGGGCTAGGAATGCACCTGGAATACATACTGACAGCCTATAAGTTGCCCTTCAGCCAAAGCAAGATTGTTTCCCTAAAGAGAACCCTTGAGCCATTTGTCATGTGTTATCTGTATTCTCTTGGATGGCATGCTTTTGACCAACAATCTTCATGTTGATGAAGAGAATGCAGAAGTTATGTCAGAAATAATCCACACCTCAAGCTACTTTAACCTATCTTAGAGCTAAATGGGTCCCATCCTCTCTCACACACACTTCCCCCTGCCAAGCAGATTTATTTAAGTCCAACAGCAATGTAAAGATCCAAAAGTGTGGCCATTAAGCAATAATAATAACACTTTTTAAAAAATAAACTTGTTTTCTACCAGGGTGGATGTTTCTTTAAAAACAAAATAAAAAGATCCACAAATTCATGCAAGAGTTTTGAAGCTCTTTCTAGAACACAAAAGCAAAATAAATAATGATTTTTCTTTTTTTCTGTGTCTGATTTATTTCCTTAAAAAGTAGATTTTATAAAGTTTTTCCCTCCCCCAAGAACACAAGTTTGTGATAGAAATCCAGCACGGGTAGCTACCACTGCATTTCCTCTGTTTCAGGAGGTGGCTAATCTCTTTACAATATTCACAGTAATTAACAAAGAGAAAGGAAAGTTGGCTCCAGCTTCTTCTACTGCTTCAGCCATCTTTGCTTTCTGCTGGGACGAGAGCAGGCAACATATCAAACAGGTGAGTTCCTCTTTCTCTTTTTACCTGAGGGGGAAAGTGCATAACAGGCACCATTAAAAAGCATTTCTGCTGAAGATCCATCATTCCCAAGTTTTAGGCTAGCATTAAGAGTTGAACCACACTGGAATGAGGTTTCCCTTTTTTCCTTCCTTCCTTCCTTCCCTCTATGTCTCGCTTCTGGGCAGAATCAATCCTTGTTGTCACCTTTAGGCAAAGCCCAGTTTTTGTAGTCTTTGTGAGGATCTCCCAATTCTATCCCATGGCGGTGACCATGCTGGATGGATGCGGATGTCCAAATGAGATGCTGGACGATGGGTGGATGGGGGTAGGCGTCGGGAGGATGTGTCCAGAATGGCTGAAGGGGGGCAAGTGGCCCATCGGAGCCATGTGGCTGGCAAGGGCGGCCGCACTGAATGGAGAGGACTTCTCCTGCATGCACTTGGATAGTTCCTCAAAGCATTCGGAGCCTTTCTTGCTCTTCTTGGATTTGTTGGACATTTTCCTATTCCTGGTCTGAATTCCTTCCTTCTTCATGGTCAGAGGCCTGTTCACCTGCAAGAAATGAGAAAATCAAGCTCATGCAAGCAAAATGACCTTCTTGTGCAACAGTTTAAATACACACACACACACACACACACACACACACACACACATAATTGTATTTAAACAGACACTGGATGTTTCCCAAACAGAAACCGTTTTCAAGCCAAGCTCCCTCTCCTCCTTTTGCTCTGCAGATTTTGTTTATAAATTTGATTTGTTTAATGAAACCACGCTGAAAAACCATTAAAAGTAAGTTGGGACAGATTCTGGCAGCTTCCCCCGCTCCTTTTTCTGGCCTTCATCCTTGACCTTCATTCATTTCCGAATTTAAGATATATAAATACATGAATAGTGAATATAACTCTAAATTCCCTCCTCATACTGGCGCATTTGGAGTTTTAACAAAAGGGGGGAAAGTCCTATATCTTAAACTATTTATATACTCAGTAATATCCAAGTTTCTTCCATGGAACTGATCTGGACTTTTTACAAGATCCCTCCTCTCCACTATTTAAGTTCTAAACTTTTATAAAGAGACCCAACTTTTATATGAACCCATTTGAAACATCCCCTTAATTTTTAGAGAGGCAGGGAACCCCAAATGCTTTCATTATAAACCAAGAGCTGTAACTCTATTTTGCCTAAATTACCCACGCTTTGGAAGCCAAGCTAATACATTGTAATGTCACTGAACCCGGCATCATTATGCCAGCAAAGAATGGCTATGACTTCCCGGGGGAGCCTTAAAGAGCTTTTTTTAAAGAAAAAAGACTCTCTGCAATGAATACAGGGGCTAGCAGACGCCATGCAGTTAAGGCATCAATCCCAGCTCAGTTAAGCAAGCAGAAGGAAGACTCGAGGAAAGCTAATACTCACATTGTGCAATTTATAGTAAAGTCCACAGGCATTACAAACTGGGTCTCCATTTGCATTACGCCGCCATAAGGTAGTAGTGGTGGTCTGGCAATTGGCACAACAAGTTCCTGCTCTCCTAGCTGCCGACTAATTGAGAAGAAAAGAAGAAAATGTATGTGTGTATAAATACATATATATGTGAATAAAGAGTCAGCATGTGATATAACCTGAACATTAAAAAACAATATTTTATATCAAATGAACAAAACTGTCCCTCCAAATGCCTTTCCATTTCCAAATGCCTTTCCAGACCTGAGTTTTGCAGGTCTTAAGCATTTTCCTTTTTAATATATTAAGTTGAATATGGTGCTAGCAGACAAAATACACTTAAGAACCAGTCTGTGGTTTTATTTCAGTATACTCTACTCTTCAGATTCATTTGGCCACTAACATGTGATGTTTTCCCTTTCTCTCAACTTGGGCAGAGATCCTGAATACTGAGACTCCTGCCAGGTAGAACTGTGCACTATCTTCCCTTTCACTTCCTGCAAGACTCTCTTTTGCCGCTCCACCCCAACATCACCATTTAATACCAGAGATCTTTAGGAGAGGGAAGTGTCAGGGGAACATCTCCCTACGGCTCTGCTACCAGGCACAAAATGGCAAAGGCATTCATCCTGGGCTGACTGTAGCTCATAGGATACAGTTGTGTACCTGGCTACAGGGACATAGCCAACCACTCCTCAATTGTCCCCTGTTCTCCACTGGCCACTAACGGGCCATGTTGGGGGGAAAGAACATGGAAGGTACATGGATGATGTCATTACATGAAGGAGGTGTTGCAGTCATCTCCCTCACAATGATAAAAAAGACAGTTGCTGGAATTACACTAGCATATGCTGCTCACAGGATATTGGCCCTGATCCATCTCACAGGATTATTGTGAAGATGGAAATGGGCAAGAATGAACTTAAGGCCATCAATGCCAAGAACTGATGGAAGGGAAGGGAAGGTGGGATGCGAGCTTTAACATACAGACTGCACATAAAGCAGACCCTCTAGATGCTGTTGAACTGTAGTTCCCATGATTCCCAACCAGCATAGCCCAGTAGGGAGGAATGTTGAGTGACAGTCCATCAACAACTAGAGGTCTGCGTTTTCCCACCTCTAATATAAAGCAATGAAAAGAAGTTACTCTTTCCATGAAAAAACTATGAACCGGGAATGCGCACTCCCCTACCCCATTTACACACACACAAGTAGTTTTCCCCAAATCCAGTTTACTTCAGTCACCAGGGCCAGACTGGGATTAAACTGAACAGAAATGCAAACTAGGAGAAACGTGATTTTCATGCTTCACATACCCCTGTACTCTTTTTATTTAAAAAGTTCCCCCAGAAACGCACACCAGGCATTTTTGAGTTCTATGCAAATGTAGTAAACACATAATGATGCCCACCTTGTAATATCCATTTGAATCCTTACACCCAATACACAGACACAGGACTTTGTGATACAGTAAACAGTGCATTGCCTCCAACTTGCCCTTTTTACTGCCCTTTTATAACACTATCAACTTCTATGTATAAAAAACCCAAGAGTTGCTACCGAACACTGTTTTAATGGACACACGCCATTTCTAGCAATCCCTCTTGAAGCACAATGTCACTGCAGCCCTGTACAGATGCCAATTATCCAGGATCCTGATCAACCAGGTCATTTGAATAAATGAGTTTGTACTGTTCTCTGGATCATGTGTTAACTGCAGCAAAGGTGCATTTAGTTCTACCCAGGACAACCACGATTTCTTTCATTATAATTTAGCACTTAACGGGTTGTGTGTGTTTAAGCCAGTCATTGTTTTATTTAACACCCTGCCCCAAAAACTCTAACACTGCTGTAATCTCACAATATGTTGTGCTGCACAGAAATAGCACTCAATATAAAAATTGTGAAGTTGTTGGCACATTGTGTCTTTGACATTAAAAGATCAATGCTGTAGCATTTATCATGATTTTCACTAAATATGATTTGGTAAAGAACCCAGCATTTTTCACCTTAAAAGAAGCTTGCCCTCACAATTTACTAAAGCTTCAACATACTGCAACTGCATAATCAGTAAAGTAACCTAAAAGCACTATGAATCTAGGAGTACAAATAATTATATACTGGTTAATAATCTGTGACTAAAACCCAAAGGCAAAACTCCCATGGATTCCAATAGTTTAACTTTGGGTTGCTGTGAGTTTTCCGGGCTGTGTGGCCATGTTCCAGAAGCATTCTCTCCTGACATTTCACCGTCATCTGTGGCAGGCATTCTATGTGAGGACAACCTCTATGCCTGCCATAGATGTGGGTGAAACACCAGGAGAGAATGCTTCTGGAACATGGCCATAAAGTCCGGAAAACTCACAACAACCCAGTGATTCTGGCTATGAAAACCTTCGACAACCCAGTTTGCTTGGTTTTAAGAGAGCTCCACAACCTGAAATCAAGGAAGGTCTACATTTGGAAGGAAGGAAGCACTTCCCTGAGATTGACACTAGACTGAGTGATCCATACCCCTGAAAACAGGGTCATTCCAGACATTATTAGAAGTAGGATGGAAAGTATTCTCTATTTGAAGGAGAAAAGACTTTATACAAAAGGCTTGAAAAGTATTGCCACTTCAGAACATGCTATTCCTATGGTCCGTTAGGTACAGTTGGGTGAATGAGATAGGTTTGCATCATTGATCTCATTCCCACAGCACTAATATGGACCAAACAGCCTAACTGGGGGAGGCTACCATAAAGCATAAGCAATGTAATTCTCAAAAAGTTCCATTAATGTTCTTCTATCAAAGCAGGATGTGCACATTTATCAGTGTCTCAGGCTGAAGTCAAATTTCTACAGGCTCCATACCAGCCTCTCAAGTCCCAGGAAAATGGTGCAATAAGAAGCCATCACCCACCCCACTTTTTACTACTATGGAGGAGCATAGGACAGACCTGTGTTCATATCTTTTGGATTAGTGAAAGGGGGGAAAGGCCTAAATATCCTAAAGGCACCAGATCCCATTTGAACTTCGAAGCTAAACAGGGAAAACTCTAGTTAGTACTTGGATGGGAGATTGCTACCAAATACAGGTGCTATAGGCTATTCACTTCAGAGGATGGAACTGGCAAAACCACCTCTGAGTATTCCTAGCCAAAGAAAACTTTATAAAATTCATGGGGTTGCCATTAATTGACAGGTAAATTGAAGGCAAACGCAAACGTATGTACACAGAGTGCCAACAGTCTTTTATCTTATTTCAGCTTCAAGATAGGGTAAGGTCAAGTACATCCAAAACACAAATATAGCTCCTAAATAGAAGGATCACTGTCCCAACCAAATTGACTATGCACACGGATTCCCCAAGCCGTTGCTATGCTTCAATGTATACCAAAAAGCTATGCTGTATTTCATAATTTCTACAATTTTATCATGAGTCTTGCAGTCTCTTTCTTTAAGCACATATAGGGACAGAAACCTATTTGTTAATGCACACAATGTCTATTACTAAACTGAAGTGTGACTAACAGCACCAAGATACAACCTGATATAATTGGATAACAAAACTAAAGAAAAAGATTAAGAAATCATTGACACTTTCTGGTAAACAAAGCACCTTCCAAATACTGAATTTTAATATGAGGCGAATCTACCTGCTGCAAAGGGAACCAGCTACTTTATAGGAACATAATGCAAGCACTATGGGAGGAAAAGAGACACATCTGAAGCATGACACATTCCCTCCTTTATGTTTTCTTGTACCAAATGAGCTGAAATGGAACCAAAGTTGTGTACAAGAGCATGGTAGCAAAACCAGGGGTACTGCTTGATTTTTTTTGAAATGTTAATGATGACAGGACAAATCTCATAACAGGATCTATTTTCTGAAGCCTCCATGTAACAGATCAGGCTATGTTTATTGCCCTCCTTTCTTCTGAAAGCTCCTTGCAGTCTTAGACCACAGTGCTTCAGAACATATGGTGCCTAATCCTTACCCTAACCAGCGATGTCAGGGACATACAAATCATAAGCTCTACCACTAACTACAGATCGTCTCATTCAACATATCTAAGTTCTCAGAGTTTGAGCCAATGAATGAAAATACAGTAGAACAGAAACTCAACCACCTGAATCTCCAAGCTTTCAGAATGCAGCAATGACTGGGATGCCCAAGGCCCTCACAACCCCAGCCGCAAGCATTGAGGCTGCTTGGATACAACAGGACTCCCTTCCTATACTGGGTCACAAGGTCAAATCACTGGTACCTTTGACTAATACAGGGGAAGGAGACAAGGCCTGCAAAAGAAACTGGAATACAACTCACAAATACCCCCAGATTCTGGGAGTTGGAATCCAAAGAAACGTATTTCAAGTCTCTTCCTCCAAACAGTGCATATCCTTCTCTGACTATCAATTGATTCATGCGATGAAGTCTACCACAGTCTTAAGCAGCTATTGATAGAAGATCTCCAAGATGCTGGGTATTGCAGGTGACTGGCAACTGAACAACTCCATCACCAAAACCCCCAACCACCCAGCTCCTGCAGTGATATCCACTGCAAAAAAGCAGCATGCAAATCCGTATCGCTGGATCAAAATAATAATTTATCTCTTTCTGGATGAAGATTTTTTGGCACAGTTTAAGTTTTTTTATTCTTTACGTTTTTTTTTTATTCTTCTCATTGGCCAGAAAGTAGAAGCCAAGTTCTAAACAGCTTGTGCACAAATAAAGAAGACACTGTTTTATTTGCATTTCCCCATTTTGATTAGGTTTTGGCAGTGCTAATTTTTTTTTTTTTACAAAATCACATTTTTAAAAAATCCCATTATTGCTAGACAAGAGTGAGGACTTGTCAACATGTTGGGATTATAATAATTTCACTTCTGAAATTTAGATGACCCTCCTGTTTGCATTTCCTGATCCCATAACTTTTGTAAGAAAGCAAAAACTCACCCGAGACTCTTCACCCCAAACCTCACCCGCCCCAACCTCCCGGGGGGGGTTTAACATCCAGAGTCTCCCATCAAGCATTTGAAAGCAGAGAGCTCTGTTTGCATATTTGAGATGGTTTATTGATACTAGACTCTGCTGCTTAACTCTAACGGCCTGTCCCCATTTAGTCTGGCATGGAGTTCAGCCTGCGAGAGAGACGATAATGTTACACTGTTGTCTTAACATTTTTCTAGACGTGTCAGTCACTTCAGAAGGAAAGAAAGCCATTAAGAAGCTTGCCCCGTTGAAATTCTGACTCACAGCCGAAATCCTTTGTATCCTGTCTTAGCATTAGATCATTTCTGTCTCCCAATTCATGCTTTGACAAAAAAATACCCCCCACAAATAGCAAGATGTTTAGACACCCCCGCCCCCCTTATCAAAATTATGCTGGCCCAAGAAAGAAACAATATTATTATTCACATTTCTTTTTTAACAAGCGAAGGGAGCATATTTGCAATTTCAAAACAGACAGCCTGACTGGCATGGCTTGCCTATAGAAACTCTTTAAAGCTTTTAGAGTCAGGAAACAGATACACAAAGTTTCCTTATCTTCAGAGGACAGATATCCGGATAGGAAACTACTACCAGGAGCTTAGAATTTTTTTTTAAAAAAAATAAGTCAAATGAAAATACAAAGCATAGGTGACTCCATGGAAAAATAATCAGCGCTTTAAAAGGGCAATTAGAGAATTGCCCAAGAAGAGGACTAATGTTAGTTTTGCCATGGAATCTATGACTACAACACTGCTTTATCAAAATAGTTATTGAGCAAACAGCAATGGCTCCAACTCAACAGACTTTTATACACACACACAGAGAAGTATGTATAGTATACTTTCAGCTTCAGTTCATTTTTAATACATTTTGAAGATGAGGAGGTCTACATGACTAACACTTTCAGTTCCATTGTATTTTTAAAATAGTTCAAGTGGTTAAAAGGATTAAACCTTTCCTCTCTGAATCAAATGAACTAAGCCACAGGAACAAATAGGGAGGGATAACTGGTCATGTAACCCTCAGCTAGATAATATTCTGGAGAAACTGCATCCAGGTTTTTTGTTTGTTTGTTTGTTTTTGTTTTGGTGTCAGAAGCAACTTGAGAAACTGCAAGTTGCTTCTAGTGCGAGAGAATTGGCCGTCTGCAAGGACATTGCCCGGGGGACGCCTGGTTGTTTTACCATCCTGTGGTAGGCTTCTCTCAGGTCCCTCCATGAGAAGCTGGAACTGACAGATAGGAACTTACCCTGCTCCCTGGATTTGAACTGCCTACCCTTCGGTCAGCAGTCCTGCCAGCACAAGTGTTTACCCCACTGGGGGCTCCTATTACATCTAGCAGCTTGTGTGCCTTCTTACATATTACATCCAGTAAATATGTGCGAGAAGGCACACAAGCTACGTAACTGAGCTCCAAGTGAGAAATTCTCTCTGATTTGAAAGTCATTTGGGGTGCATCTACACAGTCCAATGACTGCAATTTGACACTACTTTAACTGCCATGGCTCAGTGGTATGCAATTACAAGAACTGTAGTTTTATAAGGTCTTTAGCTGTCTCTATCAAAGAGTGCTGATGCCTCATGAAACCACAATTCCCATGATGCCACAGCATTGAGCCCGTGGCAATTAAAGTAGTGTCAAACTGCATTCATTCTACATCGTAGATGCACCCCACGACTGTGAACTCTAGACATGCAGCCCTCTGTCTTGGCCTCACTCCCCTTGCCCCCACAACACATACACTCTTTCGTCTACACAAAGTCCTGACCTACCACATTGTATTCTTGTACAAGTTGTAACAAAATAATAGATTTGACAAAGTTCATACACTCTCAGCATTGTGTGTATGTCTACACGCACACAATTGCAATTGCTCTATATCTTGGCACATACATTGCTTTGGGTGGAGCCCATGAAATCTGTCCCCAGGCTACATTGTGACCCCTGAGTGACACAGATCTTAGGTGCAGCACAACATCGTCTCAATTGCACACAGGCTCTGAAGCACCGAGATGGGTCACGCTGCCCTCACGCCGTCATTATGCCTGTGTGTGGTCCCATTAAAACATTTAGCCCTGATCCTGGAAAAGGGAGAAAAGACACCTACCAGCCTTCGTTTAGGTTTAATGAGAGGTCGGTTTTGACCGTTCATTTTGTGGTAGAGCCCGCAGGCGTTACACAGGTAATGCCCAGTACCGTCTCTTCTCCAGAGAGGGGTGGCAGTAGCTCCACAGTTGACACACTCTCTGCCTTCTAAATGGAAACACGAAGAAACCGGATTTCTTTCTTTAAAAACAAATTCACAAAAGCTTTTTGCAATGTCCTTTTAGGCAGAGTTCAGAAATAAACACATGACATCATTCAATGTATATTTGGGGAGGGGGAGACATCAGAAACAAATATCAGCAGAGCATGCAATAAGAGGTCTAAATTCCCCCAAAAGAGCAACACATATTTCTTATACGATGATCAGATAATAACCTCCAGCAGAATTAATAGTTCTCGAGCCGGAAATGTGGCACAAAATATTATGCTCCATTTCTCAAAAGAAAAACCTGTAATTTAAGCTGTTCTTCCCTCTCTTTGCCCCCCAACATCTCCTAAAAAAAAACAGGAGCAGAAGAGCTTTACACATTGCCAACTGAGAATTGTTAAGACAGATAAAATGTCAACTTCCCTAGCGATGGCCCCCAACTTTTTCTTTGTGAATGCTAAACTGCTCTAGAAATAAAGCAGAGTATTTGACAAAGGATAAGGGTCCTGAACAAGGGATTTGAAGGCGGGGAGGAAACATGTTTTTAAAAGTCTTCCAGAAATTTATTAACTTTATTTATTTACAGTATTTATACACTGCTTTTCTCACCCCTGGGGGGACTCAAAGCGGTTTATTACGCAATTCCCATTTATTAATTAACATACTCTTTACATCTGTGTGAATGTTGTCATTTATGCTGTATTTTCTCTATGACTGGCTTGATCGCATTACCCAGTTATACTGACTAAATATTCTTGGTTATTCTGACTCTACAGTCTGTGATATACGGCCACTGCTTCTCTCTTTTCTTTTTTAAAGGAAGGTGAACGGGTGGGTGGATGAGGGGCGAGAGGATATTTACTAGAAGTTTATTAGTTTGAGGGAAAGTCTGGTTAACAGAGGAAATTCTTCTAACATAGTTTATGCAAATCATACAGTATTTAATGCAGCGGAAACGCACTTTGGCCAGTAATTCAAGCAGGCCATGCTGAGTTCAGCTGCGCGGTGTCTCCTTTAATGTATGGAGTGGGTGGTTTTAAAGCAGTACAGGGCTGGAGTGAAAAATGAGGGAGCTCTGCTGTGAAGGCGAGCTCCTCGCTTTTGTCCCTCCTTAGGCAGGAAGCTGCAGGAGTCGCCTTGTCGTGAGCCTCGCTTTTCCTACAAAAACATAAAATGGTCACGAACTCTGCCCAGTCCCATCGGCAGGACAGGGTCTCCATTACAAAATGTAGGGAAACTCAGATCTCATAAAAAGCTTTATACTGTGGGAAAAAGAGGGCAGGGGTTGGGGAGCTCACTCACTTCCAAAGGTAATTGTTTATCCACTCTGGGGCCTTTTTAAAAACTAGCGCAAGGGGTTTTGTTTTGGATTTACAAAAACAGACTTTGTTTCCAGCACAACAGCAGTGTTTCAGGTACTGAGCAAAGTGTAAAATTTCGTTTTCTCCCCCCCCCCCCCTTTCCTTAAGAAACCAATTTGAGCTGGAGATCATAAGATAGTAAGAACATGTGATATTTTCATTGCAGCGCTCATAAAAGGGATGGGAATTACTAGTCGCTTTGAAAAGAGATGTGTGTAATGTGTATATCCTGTTTTATTTTTCTTTCTAGCCACATTAAATTCCATGCACAAGAGATACACAAACATTATTTACGCCCTGAGTCCCTTCGAGGAAAGAGGGTGGCTTATAAATTTATTATTATTATTACTATTATTATTATTAAAATACTTTAAAACATGGAATATGAATGTTATAAAAAGTATATGAATGCAGAAAAGTGCATTAAAATACATTGTTATGAATATATTTAAAAAGGGACTGAAGTAAAAAAGAACCTCTCTGTTTTTGAGATTTTATACATAAGGACAGATAGGCAAATACTGCATCTAAAAATTCTCAGTTAACAAGGAAGGTGAAGGAGTATGAATTAAGATAAGTGGCCCTTATTTCCCTCCCTCCAGTTTTATTGAATTCATTGAAAGGAGTATTTACAAGGTACCTTAATGGTTGGTGCTAGAACGTAAACTATATTTGAACTTTTGCTCTTTGTGCAATGTGAAGGAAATAAGGCCCTCTGGAAGTTTTGAGAAACAGCCCTTGTAAATTTCTCCCCTAAACAGTGCCGCGGCAGGCGCTGCTTCATAAAGATGAACTTGAGTGCAAGTTAACAAAAGCAACTGAGTAGAAAACCCCCCCAAAAGGAGGCAAAGGAAAAACAGGATCTTGCCAGGCATTTCCACTGAATACAGCTGGCCTAGGCCTTTATGTGGCTGCGTTAAGAGATTTTCCAATATAAACCCTGATTTGCATAATTCAAATCTGCCAGGTTTTTTTCCTGGGGGATTACTACCTCCCTTGGGCCCAGCGGTGACCAAATACTGCAGAGACCAGGGGCTGGGGCTTGAAGAGAGAGAGAGAGACATCTTGCGAACAACCAATTAGCAATGACAAACTGAACTTTTGAAAGCTGGAGATGCCCCTGCTGTTTCGGGCTGCTCCTCTGTCTCATAAAACAGTGCAAATTAGTTCAATTTGGGACATATTCTCATTGAAACTTGAATCCATTCAAGTCAGAGGAAAGCATTTTTTTTAAAAAAAAATGTCCTATGACACTCAAGATCACTTAATCCAGATTATTGACTTACTCCTTCACACATTTAACTACAGTCACTTTACACACAAGATCAGGGGACTTAAAGAGGTTTCTTTAATTGTCCCAGCTTTCAATGTATGTTCCTACATGGAGCAGTAATTCTCATCTGGTTTGATGATTGCAATTAGAAAATCAAAGGACTGGTAAATTTAGTTGGAATTAATAACTTGAGTTGGGGAAAAACACATTTCCTGCATTCATTTAACTTTTAAAACAATTAAATTTAAATTAATCAGCATACAGTACACTTTGTAATTTAGCCTCTGTAAACCGAAACAGAGAATATAGAACAAGTAAATATTGGTTAAGTATCCCTGGGACCAGAAGAGTTTTGGATTTTGGAATATATACATGAGATATTTCTCTGATATATAATAATAATAATAATAATAATAATAATAATAATAATAATAATAATGCCACCCTACTCGGATCTACATGCATTATTCGCCGATACATCACACAGTCCTAGACACTTGGGAAGTGTCCGACGTGTGATCGAATTCAAAAGCCATTCTTGTATATATTCTTACAACTACATGAGATACCTTAAAGTTGGACCCAAGTCGAAGCACACAATTCATTTCATACACATATTCCCAAAGTCATTTTATCCAGAATATTTTAAAATAATGTGTGCACGAGACATAGTTTATGTATATTGAACTCTCACAAAGCAAAGGTGCTGCTACCTCAGGGTGTGGACAATTTCAGATTTCAGCATTTTGGAGAAGGGATGTTTGACTTGTTGCCATTGTTATTATTGAGGATATGGAATTATTTTAGATTTTAGAATTCCAAAAAAGGGATCTTAACCTGCATTATTATTATTATTATTATTATTATTATTTGAAACATCACAAGATGAGTCCACAGCAGATACTCTGCTGGCTGTTGTATTGGATCACACGTCAGACACTTCCCAAGTGTCTAGGACTGTGTGATGTATCGGCGAATAATGCATGCAGATCCCAGTAAGGTGGCCTTTTGCAATTATTATTATTATTATTATTATTATTATTATTATTATTATTATTGACTTAGGAGTATTTTGGATTTTAGAATTTCAGATATGCAATGTTCAACCTGTACTTCAGTTACTATTATTATTGTTATTGCTGTTATTATTATCTGTCTGCAATTCTGTTGGCACTGTGACCTATCAGAATTATTTCATTAACAACTCCATGGCAAAAATCCTAACAGTTGCATTTAAGAATAAAAACAGTAACCCAGCACATTCCTCCATCTCCCTCCTAATCCCCTGGCATCCTTATTTATAAGACTCCAATTAAAATTAATTTCTCTACACATTATACCCTTTGGCCATGGAATATGCTGTCTCGGACTGTGGGGGAGTCTCCTTCTCTGAACAGAGGATGGATGGCCATCTGTGGGGATTGTTTTGATGGTGTATTCCTGCATAGTGGAATGGGGTTGGACTGGATGGCCCTTGTGGTCTCTTCCAACTCGAGGATTCTATTATTCTAACCTCTGCTTAACTATTATTATTGGGGATTTGGGGGTATTTTGAACTTCAGGATTATGGACAAGGGATGCTCAACCTGTACTTGAGTTATTACTATGGAGGGCTTACTGAGATTCAGTTGGCACAGTGACCTATTGCAATTATTTCATGGCATAAATCCCGCTTCAAAATGAAACTGTAACCCAACACATTCCTCCAGCTCCCTCCTAATCCCTTGGCATCCTCCTTTATAAGGCTCCGGTTAAAATTAATTTCACTTTATGTATAACCAGCCTTGCAAGAAGTCTACCCAAAGAGGTTGACAAGTGAAATAGCCTTGTAGCCAATGGATACAGAAATGTAGACTGGGAAGAGACCTGAAGGGCGATCCAGTCCATCAAAGCCCTCCCAACAGATGGCCATCCCGCTATGATCTCACATTTAGATGCAAGACACTATAAAACCAGCCTTTATAAAAGGGGCCAAAATACTCCTGTGATGGATAGTATGTAAAACAATTTTTGTTCCTGAGTTATATACATCATTTCCAAATTGGTTCTATCATAAGAACATGCAAAAACTGCAAAAACTTTTGTTTTCAGGGGACATCCTGCAGCAGACTTTGCAATGGTTTTTCAATTAGTATCTCATTGAATCTCAACTAGTTTGTGGCAGACACAAAAAATGAGGGGATTTCAATGTTGGTGCTTTTGGAAGGGGCACCTCACCCTCCAAAAGACACTAAAAGCAGGCCTGGGCCAACTTAGACCCTATGGGTCTTTTGGACTTCAACTCCCACCATTCCTAACAGCCTCAGGCCCCTTCCTTTTCCCCCTCAGCCGCTTAAGCAAAACACTGGGCCTGTGATAAGGGCCTGTGATAAGGGATTATGTTTCTTGTGAAGTCATAGAATCCTAGACTTGGAAGAGACCCCAAGGGCCCTGCAGGAAGACACAGTCAAAGCCCTCCCGACAGATGGCCACCCAGCCTCTGCTTGACAGCCTCCAGAGCTGTGAGGAGGGCTGGAGGGGGTGGGATTCCTTAACAAGGCTTTTCTAAATCCCAGAAAGGTTGTTGCCTCACCTGAGCAGGAGCGGGCCTTGCTGCGCTGCTTGGGCGTGAAGCTGGAGGCGGGCCCGCCGAGGAAGCTTCCCGGGTGGAAGAGGCTTCCTCCGTAGTCGTGGGCGGCGGGCACGTAGGGCGGGTAGGTGGGGATGGGGTGGTGGGTGGCCGGCTGGGCGCCCATGGAGGCGGCCAGGCTGCTCCGGAGCGGGCTGGCGCTCTCCATCTTCATGCCCTCGGCCAAGGAGACCTGGTACTTGAGCGCCGGCTCCTTCTCGTCCTGCCGCCCTCCTCCTCCTCCGCCGGCCGAGGCGGGCGAGGCGGCGCTGCTGCTTCCCCCGGCGTTGGGGTCGGGAGAGACCTCCTTGGGTGGCGTGGGAGGGAAGCCGAAGAGGTGCGGGGGCCCCGCGTGCGAGGCCGGAGAGGAGCCGTTGCCGCCCCCGCCCGCCCCGCCGCCCGAGTACAGCGCCGAGCCCGGCGGAGCCCCGGCCGCGGAAGGGTGGAGCGGAGGCGCCTTAGCGAAGGGGCTCACCGCCCAGGGGTTGTGGTGGTGGGCCGCCGAGAGGGCCGCCTTGCCGCTGTCCAGCCACGGAAGGCCCGGGCTGTGAAGCAAGTGCGGGCGGCACATCTGGCCCCCGGTCAGGCGAGCTGCGGAGGGAGAGAAAGAAGAAGGGGCCAAGAGAAGGAAGGAAGGAGGAAGAGGAGATGGAAGAAGGAAGGAGGGGAAAAAGGAAGGGAAGGAAGGAATGGAAGGGCGGAAAGGAAAGGAGTAAAGGAAAGGTAGGGAAGGAAGCAGGGAAGGAAAGGAAAGAAGAGAAGGGGGGGAAGGAAGGAAGGGAAGGAAGGAAGGAAGAAGGGGAGGAAAGGGAAGGATGGGAAGGAAGGCAGGAGAAGGAAGGAAGGAAGAAGGAGGGAGAAGGGGAGGGAAGGAAAGGATGGAATGGAAGGGGGAAAGGACAGGAAGGAAAGGAAAAGAAGGAGGAAAAGGAAGGAAAGGAAAAGGAGGAGGAAAGGAAATGAAGGGAAAGGAGGGAAGGAGAGGAAGGAGGGAAAGAAACGAAGGGAAGGAAAGAAAGGGAAGTAAGGACACAGTTAGACAAGGCACAGATGTTGGAAATACACAGCAACAGAATATATGGGGCCCTCTACACTACCATGTCATGTGTAGAATACAGTTTAAACTGCATGATATGGGGACCCATCTGCACTGCCATGTCATGCGTATTATGCAGTTCAAACTGCATTAGAGACCCATCTGCACTGCCATGTTATATGTAGAATGCAGTTCAGACTGCATGTTATGGGGCCCCATTTGCACTACCATGTTCTGTGTATAATACAATTCACACTGCCTGATATGGGGTTCCATCTGCACTGCCATGTCATGTATATGATGCAGTTCAATCTGCATTATGTGTAGCCACATCTGCACTGCCATGCAATGCATTTAGTCCAGTTCAAATTCAGCTCCAGCCATCTACACTGCCATGCCATGCATCTAATGCAGTTTAAACTTCATTATAGAATAATAATAATAATAATAATAATAATAATAATAATAATAATCTTTATTTATACCCGCCACCATCTCCCAAAGGGATTGGGAAGGCTTACAAGGCACTTACAAGGTGCAGAACAAATACAAAAAATGCAGAATCTGTAAACTGCCAACAGAAATACCTCACTTCTGAAAAGCCCCTGGTTAAAATAAGTAAAATACATCCATAGTTTCAAGTGTAAAACAATAATAGTCTGTCTTAGTGCTTGGTGAAATCTATGGAGAGTCCCATCTACACTGCCATGTAAAGTACTATGGTGAAATCTGTTATATAGAGTCTTATCTACACTGCCAGGTCATGCATTCAGTGAGGTTCAATTCAGTTTGAACTGCATTATATGGGGCCCCATCTAAACTGCCATACAATGCAACTGAACTGCATTATACAAGTCTGCAATGAGTTCCAAACTGCATTATGTTGCAGTGTAGATCTAGCCTTAGAGAAACTAGAGAAGGTGACTGTTAGGGAAGGCAAAGAGAGCAACTATTTGGGAAGCCAGGGAGCCACAGGGCTTGAGGCCTTGCCCAATGGGCCACACAGCCCTAACCTGAAACACAGCCCCAAAGGCTGACACCACTTTAACTGCCAAGGCTCAATGCTATGGAATCCCCGGAGTTCATTGTTTTGTGAGGCACCATCGCTCTTTGGCAGAGGCCATGGAAAACTACAGTTCCCATTACTCCATAGCACTGAACCATAAAAGTTCAAGCTGCACTCATTTTGCACTGCATTCATTTTCCCAAGCCTTGGGGTCCATACACCCAACCCTTCACACAGAAAGGCCCTTAAAACTTCTCCAATATTCCCATGCCAAGCAGTTGCCATTTGTGTGCATTTCCGAGGCCTCGGGAAAAGCCATTTTGTGTGACTGATGGGAGCCTGAAAATGGGTGAATCTTGGCAAACCAAAGATGGACAGGCCTCAACTGCCTGGCCCCAAATTTGACTGGTTTAATAGGGTTCAAAGACTGAAACCTCCTCATGTTCCAGGCCCAGAAGTGTCCACCTGTGGTAACCTTGCTTTAGTGCAGGAATGAGCCAACTTGGGCCCTCCTAGTGTTTTGGACTTCAACTCCCATAATTCCTAACAGCCTCTGACCCCTTCCTTTCCCCCTCAGCCGCTTAAGCTCTGAGGCTGTTAGGAATTATGGGAGATGAAGCCCAAAACCCAAGAGGGCTCAAACTGGCCCCTGCCTGCTTGAGTGTCTTTTGAAGGGCGAGATGCCCCTCGCAAAGGCTCCCAAGCCCGAAGTCCCCTCGTGGCGTGGACCTACCGTGGGCCTGGCTGTAGGAGACGCGGGCGGCGGCGCGGGCGTGGGCCGAGTTGGCGTAGTAGGGGTTGCCCTGGGAGTCCAGGTGGTTGAAGAAGACGTCCACCTCGTCCGGGGGCAGGAGCTGCGCCGGCTCCATGTAGTTGTGGGCCAGGCCCGGGTGGTGGGCCTCCGGGTGCTGCCCGTTCAGCACGGCGGCGTGGTGGGCCATCCAGCGGGGCTGGTCCGTGGCCACCTCCATGGCGGAGGCGGGTCGGCCTCCGAAGGGAGGCAGGGAAGCAGACGCGCGACGAAACCGCCTTCCCTCGTTGGAAGGGCTGAGCCCGGGATACCTGCAAGAAGGAAGGAAGGGTTAGCACATACCTTGGGGAGGAAAGAAGGGCTGGGAAGCCAAGGAAGATCCTGCTCCTTCCACTTCATAGTTGGGCCAAAGTTTACTCTCAGAAAGGGAGGAAGGAGAAGCCAAGAAGACTCCTGTCCCTTTTTCCACTTGCAGTTTGGCAAAAGTTACTCTCATAAACCTTAAGACAAGGGGGAATGAGAAGCCAAGAGGAGTCCTCTTTTTCCCCCTTCCACTCTGCAAAAGTTACTCCCAAAAACCTTAAGAAAAGGGGAAATGAAGAGTCGTCTTTTGCCCCCTTCCACTCTGCAAAAGTTACTCTCAGGGCCTTTCCACACAGCCCTATTTGCCAGAATATCAAAGCAGAGAATCCCACATTATCTGAGTGTGAGATGAGTTTTGAGTGTGGACTTATCTGAGTGTAGACTCAGATAACCCAGTTCAAAGGAGATATTGTGGAATTTTCTGCCTTGAGATTCTGGGGTATAGAGCTGTGTGGAAGGACCCTCAAAAACCTTAAGAAAAGGGGGGGATGGGAAGCCAGTAAGAGCCCTCTTTTGTCCCCTTCCACTTTGCAAAAGTTATTTCCAGAAACATGAGGGAAAGGGAGGATGAGAAGCTCCTGTTTTGCCCATGGCATCCCCCCCTTCCCACTTACTATTATTTTGCAAAATTAGAGAAACCACGAAAAGTCCTGTTTTGCCCAATGCACCCCCCCCCCCCATTTCCACTGGTTCTCTCTTTCCCTCGTCTATTTCCTCTCCCCACAATTTTCCTACCAATGCTAATTTCGAACTGTAAGGCAAAAGGGGACGGGAAAACAGTCCTGTGATTGACATTTGTTTATAAAAGAAGTTCAAACTGAGATCATTTTAAAACAACAACTTGCAATATTATAATATATATATCTCCAACCACGAGAAAGCCTTTGTTTCTTGCAGGTAATAAGCCAAGGGGGCTCCTGCTTTGCCCCCCATTTCCACTATTTCTCCCCTTCTTCCGTCTATTTCCTCTGCCCAAAAAAAGTACCAACATGTCAACAAATGCCAGACTCTAAGGGTAAGGAAAGAGGGGGCATGGAAACTGTCCTTTGATCTATTTTTGTTAAGAATGGAGTACAAGTCGAGATTTTTCTAACTAAATCTTTTTAAAAAATATTAAAATACCCAATTATTCGAAAACATTGCAAACCCTTAGCCGTGCTTCCCTTTCCTCCTCCTCCTCCTCCCGCCTTGTCCGCTTCACAAACATACTTACGGAGGGGCTCTTCCGAGCGGACTGAACCAAAACTCCCAAAAATGTTTGAAAAGTTTCTTTATGGGGCTGTTAAAAGTGGGGGCGGCGGCGGCGGTGGCGGGAGATTGTTTGGAAAGAGAGAGAGATGGAAAGGAGGGAGGGAGGGAGGGGAAGGGCGACGGAGTCTTTCTGTGTCTCCTCCGAGGGCGAGCTCCACTCAGAAGGCTGGCCTCCTTTTTTGCAACATCCCCAAAGCATCCTATGTCAGCCCTGGCGCCAGCTGGACTCAGTTCAGTAGACAAGGGGCGAGGGGCGTCGCGCGGGCTAAGAACCTCCGCCCAGCCAATCAGCGCCGCCGCCTCCAGCCTCGCCTCGCCATTGGCCCAGCCGGGCTCACGGGCCCCTCACTTACTCCTCCGCGCGAAGGAGCCGCCAAAGGCAGGCAAGGCAGAGAGATTGAGAGACAGAGAGAGCGCGAGAGAGGCGCGCGCCCGGCCCCGCCCGCGGACGCGCGCGCTCTTCTCTTCCTCCTCCTCTCCCCCCCCCCCCACACACACATTTTTGTATTTCCTACTTTCATTCCCTTCCTACAACTTCTTCTTCTTCTTCTTCCTTTCACACAAGTTGTCTCGTTTCTAATCCAGTTGCTTGTGGGCTGTCCGAGGGAGCAGCGCCTGCTTCTCGTGCTTCAAAGAAGACGAGGAAAAAACTCCCTGTATTCATCGCACTAGAGAATGAACCCCACAACCTCTGGGGATGCTTACCACAGATGCAGGCGAAACGTCAGGAGAGAATGCTTCTAAGAACATGGTCATACAACCCGAAAAACCTACAACAACCCAGTGATTCCGGCCATAAAAGCATTCGACAATAAATCCACTTTAAATCCGGTTTCTGCCTCCTGCAGAATTCTGGGGTTTGTAGTTTAGTAAGGCTGTCAAAGGCTCCTCCCTAAACTACAAATCCCCAAAATTCTGAAGGAGGCAGCAACCGGATTTAAAGTGGATTCATTTTTTAGTGTGATGAGGTCCCATGAAGCACAAATTGGGCAGAGGCGAATTCAAACAGCTTTGGGAGGGCATATTTTGTTTTGTTTTATTGTGATATAATTATTTATATGTAAATAGATTACATTTTATACCGGGGAGGCCGAGTAAAGAAGCCCAGGATGGTCCTCCTTGGGAAGACCAAGGCTCCACTTGGGAAACAGGAGAGGCGCTTTTTCAAAAAATCGGAGCCAAGAGTGGCTGGACTTTGATTTGGCTCATTGAGTACTTCAAGGGGTCCGATTTTAGCAGCCCAGGGGGGAAAAAACCTTGACAAGACCCCTCAACCTCAGGAGAGAATGCTTCTAGAACATGGCCATACAGCCCGGAAAACTCACAGCAACCCAATTGACAGGAAAATTAAAAGTGGGAGCTAATGCGAGAGTCTGTGGGCCTTTCCACACAGCCCTTTACCCTCGGTATATCAAGTAAGAAAATCCCACGTTATCCGAGTGTGGACTCAAATAACTCAGTTCAAAGCAGACAATGTGGGATTTTCTGCCATAGTATTCTGTGTGGAAGGGCCCTTAGATAACCCAGATATTGTGTGATTTTCTGCCATGGTATTCTGGGATATAGGATCGTGTGGAAGGGCCCTGGGAATCCAAACGCAATCGTCGTGTCCCTCCTTGGTTGAAGTGCTTTCTTTCCTCTCATTTAAACTCCTCTGAAACGACCTCCTGCGCCCACTCCCTTCGCAGCGGTTAGTTAAGCACAAATCAATTGTACTCATTTAGAAGCAAATGTCTTCCAAACTGGAACCGATCCGGTATTTTTTCTTCCCCGAACATGTAAACCAAGGCAGATTATCAATAATAACCAAAGCAGTGCTTCACATTACTTTCCAATGGAGAAAAAAAGAGAAAAGAAACATGTCTTTGTATTCAACATTTGAAACGTCAGACTTGTACAAAATAGCGAAAAGAGGTTTTTTTTTGTTTTCATTTCAATAGCTTCTGAACAAGTCGTCTTGGAAAGAACTAGAGGAAGAGGCGAGCGAAAAAGACACATCATAGAATTATGAAGTGTCCTAAAGCTGGTTGAAACTGGAAAAGTGAATATTGGGTCCTGAAGCATCAACTAGAAGTCCTGGAGACTGAGGGCCCTTCCACACAGCCATATAATCTAGCATATCAAGGCAGAAAATCCCTCAATATCTGCCTTGAACTGGGTTATCTGTGGGTCCTTCCACACAGCCCTTTATCCCAGAATATCAAGGCAGAAAACTCCATAATATCTGCTTTGAACTGTTATCTGAGCCCACACTGCCATATATCCCAGTTCAAAGCAGATAATATAGGATTTTATTCAACTGTGTGGAAGGGGCCTGAGAGGAGGCCTCGTTTTCCTGGGTACTTTTCGAGGGGAGAAGGCAAGAGATCCCTTGAATCCGGAGGGAGAATGCGGCTGCCATCCCAGCATCGGTGAAGGGAGGGAGCCTCTTCCCAGCCCAGCTCCATCTCCAGAAAAACCCAAGCAGGGCTGCATCCCATTTCCATTCCTTCCTTACACCCAGCCCACAGTCATAATTCTCAGCCTCGACGCGTGCTTCGCTTTGTGTCGAAAACCACAACCCGGGCGCTGTGCTGTTTTCTCCCTTCCCTTCCCAACCCTGTTTCTGAGAGAAGGCGATTTCTCTCCTTCTGAAGCTACCAAAGGCTTTCAAGTCTCGGGCTGAAAAGGCTTGAGCCGCTTGCTCAGCACTTCTCCCTCCCTGGAGAAGAAAGGAAAAGGGGGGATTCTCCCTTCTGGCCAGCAGATTGAAATCCCCTGCTTCCCTTACCAAAAATGACACTTAAAATATCCAAACCCCACAATTTGGGAAGACAACTGTGTGCCCTCCCTTCTTCCATTCCTCCTTGCCGCCTTTCTTGACTTGGACGTCATTTGTTGCCCTTTCTTTGGGCCTGTTTTCCACGCGGGGAACGATGTCCCCTTTCCCTGGAAGTGCGGAGCTTCTCAGCCTGGCTAATATCCCCCACCGACAGCTTTGGCGCCTTGCTTGATTCCGGATCAGAGCTTCTCTGCGCCCTTTTTGGAAATCCAACCCTGAAATCAACTACTCTCTCTCTCTTTCTCTCCCTCGACGGCGGCTCTTTCAAATCTCTTTTTCTCCAGAGATCTTCGAGCTTGTACTGGATTGTGAAGCGCCTTTTCTGGGAGTGTTCTCCACCGTTGAAATGAGCCGCCGCCCGTCCTTCTTCCATCCCCAAATTTTGGGATTGTTTCCTCCTTCCTCGCCTCCTCTTCCCTGAATTCTCCGTCTGGACGCCCTCCTCCGCTTTGACTGATTTGCTTGCTTCTCGCTTCTAAAGTGAGAATGTCAGTGGACGTTTAGATTGAAAGATATCCCCCCCCCCCCCCCCCCCCCCCCGGATTTATCTCTGACACGACAAGGCCGCTTGAGTTGGGAAAAGGTTTTGCTCTCGCTGTTTTTAATTCTTCACATTTTAACGCGGATCATTTTATTCCTGGTGTGTCAATGTGCCTCCAAGCCCCCTTCCACACAGCGGAATAAAATCCCACATTATCTGCTTTGAACTGGAATATATGGCAGCGTGGACTCAGATAAGCCAGGGCCCTTCCACACAGCCCTATATCCCAGCATATCAAGGTAGAAAATCCCACATTATCTGAGACCCCTTCCGCACAGCTGAAAAAAATCCCACATTATCTGCTTTGAACTGGGATATATGGCAGTGTGGACTCA